AAATAAACACCCATGAACTATCAAATTGAGGCTTTTCGATTTTTTTCAAATGTTCTGCAATTTTTTCTGACACTTTCAAACATTTTAGGAATAATAAGTGAAACTTACTTACTTACTTATTTATGATCCCGTATAGTATCTTTGAAGGCCATCACAAGTAGATAAGAAAAACTTTGACATCTTTTGTACTCAAAGCAAATATCAAAATGGCAAAGGCAATATCAACAAATGAGGCCAAATGTCAAATTTAGCAGTGTATAGAACCTGTTGACAAATCATATTAGTCCGATTTTATTTTCATTCTACAAGACAACAAAAGACTATCGTAAAACAAATCATTCAGAAGATTGACTATTTTCAATCTCTGAAAAGTACAGTGTTGGTTTTGCGATAAGTTCGATGATGGGAAGCTATTATTCAATCTCTTGATAGTTCGAATAATTATGTTATGTTTGGTTTAATATTTTATGTGGTGAATAATTCTCGTTTGCAAGCTTGCGTAACAACATTAAACGAGGAAACTGCATTAAGGAAATGGTGCAATTTACATGAAATGTTACTGTGATTTATCATAATTTTTAGAATTGTTCAAATATGGGAACATGAAACGATTGCAGTATAGATTACGTTTTCAGTGGATTGATTGTTTAGAACAATTAACAGCTTCAATGTTCATGAATTCATACTACGAGACGTAATGGTCCCTAAGGAAACAAATGGAAGGAACGATTCAATCAACAGGAATCGTATTTATAAATGACACGTTTTAAAGTCCAAAGTTTTGTTCGCTTATGAAAAACTGATTGAAATATTTATTTTGAAATCATATTTTTTACATGTTCACATGCATCTGTATTTTATATACTTTATCAATGGCCTCTTCAGAAACAACAATCACACTGTGACAATGTAATACTGGTGAAAATAAATGCGAAAAGTATATGTAGTTCAATTTAGGTTTGCAAGGCTTTCCCCTACCAGAAAGGAATAAATTGCAATTTAAATCGCAGCGTCTGGGAGCATTTACTTACATTAAAAACCCATATGCATATCAGTAAAATGGAAAGTAAGGTTTCCAGTCTAAAAAACATGTGTTTATATTCTAATTACGTAATATCACTTCAATAAGTTAGATAAAGACGTACTTATTTTTTTGAATATAATTGTTCCAATGAATATTTTTGCTCTTTCGTTTTTAAAATTTTTTTTTAAATGTCTAAAGAAGAGTATTATGATTGTACCCATTTGTTTTAAAATATAAAAAAGATGCAATAATTTAAATTGTAATGTGATGTTATGGTATTAGAGAATAAATTGAAACCAAACATAAACTGGAAACAGTTGTTATGTGATAAAAATTTAACTTTAGTGTTTCGATCTGAGACATCTTGAATATAAAGTTAACATCATGAATTATAGAACGAACGAAATCTCTTTTCGTTAAGATATGAAATGTTATCAAGGCTAATAGGATTACTTTTAAGTGGTGCAAATTCCTGCAGTAACGTATATATCAATATAACAACAATATAACTGTTATGTTATTGCATATTCATTTTCCAGACTACAGTACAACAATAGACAAATATCCGTTGTCTAATATCGTCATTGGATTGTTCTTCGAAAATGACATATTAATTTTAAGACTCGTCCAAACTGACAAATTTGATGATACGAGTATATTGAATATTGTTTCTTTTTCATTGCTCAAGACTACAAACTACTCTTAATCCTTTCATTTTAATGGACACTTATTGAACACATCTGGAATCTTTATGATGATTTTCTAAAAGTGTATAAAGCTTTTATCTGCTGCATGTAGTTTAAAGTATTATTATTTGAATTCCAAAACAGTTGACAGTAAGAAATAAATACTGAGCGAATAAGCGAACGCATACTTTTTTACATACGTTTTCGAAAATCAACCATAATAAAATGAGTTTACTTTCAAGTTTTATTTAAATATATTTCATTGGTTTAAGCTTTTTACAATTTAATATGACATTCTGTTTATTATTGCATCGTCAAGTTAAGCTGAATTGACTATGCAATTCAAATGATTGACAGTTATAATGATGACCGACCCACAGTTGATAATGGAAAATGTAAACTTTAGACGTTCATCTTTTCGCTCAATATATACCCTTGGATGTGCATAATGTCACTTTAAGTAAAACGTAAAATAGACACAGTCAAAAACATTTACATTTTAATTAGAATAGATAGAAATGCATTTTTCTTGTCTTGCTCTAGAAATCAAGAGATAAAGATTATACACTGAAGCAGAAAGCTGTATGTGTTCCAGTGTAGTATCTGAGAGAAAACCATTTGATTTGATTGAACAACTTTTACAGGCTGTTAAATTATGATATGAAATATGAAAACAGTATTAGAGATAAACACACTATAAGTGTACAGTTTTTGATAGTATGTATTGTATAAAATTTCAGTTGAATTATGACTAAGCCTTTACATTCCATGTATAGTATATCATTTATAGATACTTATTTTACTTTCCTGCTACTCAGAAAATAGGCTAAAAACGGCACAGAGTAATTACTGTTTAAAGCGAAAGAAAATATTCAATGTCAACAATAGCATATTGAAGTATACTAACCATGTGATGTTTCTTGTACATTAATGTTTGAACACATAACACCCATTTTCTTCTGATTTCCCAGATGGTTTTCCTAATGACATTTTCTTCAATGTTAGGAACATTTCTAATATTTTAGAGCTTTAATTAAGTAAGTACATCGTTCAAAGTGTCAACTGTAGAATTATTAAGCTTATACAGAACAATTTATGCCATTTATGTTGGTGAAACCACACCGGCAATAAGAGAAATCGATCATATTAAAATGCTTCGTTATCTTATTATTATAAAATATTTTCCAGCAAAGTTCTGCTCATTTATTAGTAAAATCTTAGCATCAGTCTTGTTTTTCTCAGACTTTCTATTACTTTGTTATATATAATCTAAGTTGCGGTATTCAGCAAAAATATATAAACGTTTACATGATGACAAATTAAGACATGCTAAGGTTAAAAATAGGGGTTAAACCGTAAGCTATACCGTGGAACCATCTGAAACTGGTATATGCCACGTTTTGTATGTGAACTATACATGGATCAAAACCGAATACTTCAACTGATCTTTTGATTGTACATAAGTGTATTTACAATCTCCGTTTAAACTTAGCGGGAAATTAGCGCAAGATGTAGTGGTATTTTATTTTGATCAGTAAGAAGGCCCTTGTCAGTGGATTTTTTATCATAATTTGTCCAAACTTCTTATTTAGAATATTAATACACGTGTATTGAATAATACATTTCAGCTTAACTTAATCTGGCAAAGATTAGATATTGTTTAACTTTGCATATAAAACAAACTGGTACATTATCCACAGCTGTCAAAAACGTAAATTTATATTCATGATTTCGTATCTGGTCTACGCGTTTTGCATTCGTCTTGCGAGATACGAAAGTGTTCGACTATAGGGGATTGAAGAAAAATATCTTTAAAGCATATATTATTAATTCAGAAAGATGTAAACACATATAAATGTAAAGTGAAATATTAAATAAGAAAAGATGACGATTAACATAAAAATGAACTCTCGAAAATCTTGGCAACAATCTAATGTGTCGGCTACATTAGTCTTACAAAATTGTTCGTTTTAAAAAATGCCGCATTATTAAATGTATCTTTAAAATCTTGTAAAATTTTAATTGTTTGGAGAATCCGGGTATCTATCCAGGTACCTCTCACATGCTAAACGAGCGCTCTACCACTTGAGCTAATTCCCCTTATGTTATGTAGCACATACAATAAATCGTAAAGAGTTCTTTTTTATCATCTCTTTTTAACATCTATTCAATTGATTATTATAGTAATTAATTATATTTAGTTAAATATTTCATCTAAAATTAATAGTAAATAAATGAAATGTTCATAATTATTAACAATAGTGTATTATAAATGCCTATATAGTCGTCCAATCATCGAATAAATTGAAAGAAAGAAAACATTTTCTTTATCGTTAGGACAATTTAGAAATTAAATTTATCTCTTGCTGTATATAACGGGGGATTAGCTCAAGTGGTAGAGCGCTCGCTTTGCATGTGAGAGGTACCGGGATCGATACCCGGATTCTCCATAATATTGTTTTAATAACTTATAATTATGTGATTTTATCATAATTTTATGTGACAGCTGATTAACCATTTCTTTCTACTTTTTTCGTCAATTAGGCGACTATGAGCATTTTTTGTTATCAAAGTTAATACAAAAGTACATATAAGCATTGAATGAAATGTTATTTCGTGATAATTTCAAGTGATAACATGCTATATTAATGATTTAAAAAAATCTCAAGTTTTAGATTTATTTAATAAAAGGAGATTTGTGTTATACACAGAAACATTAACCACTCAAGGTCCTCCATGTCAAATATCAATCTGATTAAAATATTCAATAAATAAATAAATAAAAAAAAAAATAAAAAAATTGATTAATCACTTAACAACAAAAACACATAAAAACCAAAAACAATGTAAAGCTTTACAATTGTTATCAATTTTGCGGCCCTTTTTCCTTTCAATTAAAATTGGGCTTCAGTCTGTAACAGGGTTTGTAATCATCTAAAAAGCTTTGATTTTTTAGATATCATAATGATTGCATTTTCGAAGTTATTCTGGCATAATGTACATTTTGTATGATCATTATTAGTATAACAAGTATTATACATGACGCATTTACAAAACTATTTTTGTCTTTTGTCTGCAAAATAAATTGAATAAAAACATTCATTCCGATGTATTTTGAGGTTATCATATATGAATAGTTTATATTGATTTGTCAGCTTTTGTTGTATTTCAACATTAACAAACATGACTTTATTTGTCTCAGTCCGGGAAATAGTATCTGTTTTTCAAATATTTCAGAATCGGGTCTTATAAAATGTGTTAAAACTTACACAGAATCTAACTGTAACAGTTATTCAATTTGTTTTAAATTGTAGATACGGTTTGATCATTCATCAGTATGAAGAAACCTTTTATTGCCTTACTTATCAACACCATTGCTTGCATCTATGATGTCACGAGTGCGGAACTGCCCGGAAAATCTTTGTCACATGTTACAGGCGGGGCAAGGTCTTCTTACTTCCAAAATATTTCAAAATCTGACAGGTTATAGTTTTGTGTAATATAGGGTATAGCGTTAGGTTATACTGGTGGAAGATTTTAATTTGATAGCAAAATTTCATTGTAGTGATGTAGATTTAGAAAATCAAGTATTTTGGATATATTTTTCTGCAGGAGCAAAGATGCTTTGCTATACAATCTGACATATTAAGCTTATATAAAACTTTGCTGATACAATTAAAAAAATATATAGAAAAATAACACTTATCACAGGCGTTACCCTTGTGGCTAAGGGGTTGCCAGGAAGCGTTGAGGCAAAACAATTGCTGCAACCATTTAACCTTGCGTGATCGTTAGAGGCGATTAAATTGGTTTGAATAACTGGAGTCTATGCATCTCTTGGCTTCAGCTGGTGAAATGGTTTTGACCCCTGGCGTTGCTTTAGCTTTGTAGTCAAAATTCAACGCCATATGACAAATCACGTGATGGTGCGCCGTAAAAACAAACACACAAATCGCAGTCATGCAGTTTGTCAGGATTATAATAAACTGAGACGCCTTTAGTTATTAGTAACATGTTATGTTTATAGGTCATAATTTAGAACAAAAATATTATTCTTTATCACTTAAGTTTCTCACTTAAAAAGAGATACTTCAACTTGGGAATATATTTGTAATTACTCTGTAAATAAACCTTTTATGATAAGATAAAGTGTAGTATCAATTACTTGGATGTGCAAAAATACTGCTTTATTGTACACGTGAATAACAGCGGCTGTTTGATGTTTTTACACAATTACTCCTATAATCATAAACTGTCTGTTCACAATTATGATTTTAATAAAAAGTAGTTTAACAATGTTTTTGTGTTAAGTGCAAGTGGCATCTACGTCATACTAATATCTCGTTGATTTTCGTTTCAATAAATGTGCCACAGAAACAGAAATCGTAAAATTATTAATTAAGTAGCACTTCAATTATTTTAACTGGAAAACGCACATAGTTTAAAAGAAAGGTTTGTCATTGATAAAAAACACGTAAGTTTATGAGAATGTCTGCGCTTAATGGATAATAAAATAGCTCAATTAGTATCCATAATTTGAAATGAATAGTATTCAAAAGTCAATAGAATTAATTGTATCTACTTACTGTATCTTTATTGTATAAATTGGTGCATATAGTTCATAATGTTTTGGGTTGTATTTTTTTTTCAAAATAAGAAGCATAATTTATATTATTTTTATGATGATAATTTTATCACGACCTGTAAGGTTCTTCTTAAAAAAATACTGATCTATGCAGTAAATGATGACGGTTTCTGCTGATATGTGCTTTTTTTCGGCACATGTATCTTCAACTTATCAAGCCATTATTGTGACAAAAGCTCAAGCAACAAATTGATCATTTTATTCAAATGATGGCTTTTAAACAGCAAAGCATAAAAAGTATACTCTTTATAATAGTGTTATTCTTTTTAATTTGCAGAATAATATCTTTAATTACAGACAACGAACACTTGATGAACTACTAGCATACTATGACCCAAGGATACCTCCAAACTATGAGGAAGGTAAATATAACTGATTTTGGTAATGTTTTTTTAAAAGACAACTTAAAACATCATTTAAAAGAATAAAGTTAGGGTATATTAGTCATCCCAAACTCAAATCAGTTTTTCATTTACATTTTGTACTGTTTGTTTATATTGTCGGTAATTATATATATATTTATAAGAAACATTGAATCACTATAATTGTTCTATTTGCCAAAAGGCACCAATAGCAATGATAGTTCAGGTTATTGACCTTTTAGTTACTTTTATAAACTGTAACAAGACATCAAAAATTAAAAGATCTTGTGAAATAAATAAAAAGCATTTCTGGGTCTTAATGAGTAGATGCTAAGGGGCGTGTACGAATATTTGCATTTTCATGAACAGTCTCAATTAAACGGAGCCTGCAACATTTTCAATTCTTTCGCTTTGAACGTTCCTTAGGGATTCTTGTTCTGTCTTTCTTTGTAATTAGTTTAGGGAATCTATGATTAAACTACCAGAAGCAAATGTAATTTACCAACTGTTACAAAGATAGAAACAAATTAATATTGCAAAGAATATAGAGCAATTAGGCAAGTATAAATAATCAACAATATGAACAAATTTCAAGCAGTGTAATTTGTAAGAGAAGTACATGGTAAATGGAAGACATTATATATAATACATGATAATGAAGCCTGACTATTAACATATTTCTTACTATTTTAGTGATCCGTTCTTATATGAAATTATTACGTTTAATGTTTACATTTTAAATTAAAAAAAATCAACAAAAGAAAACAAAAAGCAACATTTAATTTATATTTAATGCGTTACTACCAAATCATTTTCTGGATGATAAAAGTAGATCATACATATTGATTTAGATACGTTTATACAATAAGTATTGTAGATTTATAGAAGCATTTCTTACCTGTAACATTTTGCGATCCTTTTGTGACTGAGTGTTGCTTTCTACCCATTAGAAATTGACGCACAAGTATTGCAGCAAATGATTATCCCTTCGTTAACGTAACATGCGACTAAATGAGATCCAATTACTTGAGTCTATGCTTCACTTAGCTCCAGCAGGTGAGGAGGTTTTGGCCCCTGATGTTGCTTAAAGGTTGAAACTCCCGAGGTTAGTCAAAATCAACTTTCCTGTTTCTGCGCAGTATGACCTAAATTGATGTCGTGCGCCTCAACCCCCGCCTCCCCCCAAACAAACAAAAAAAACAACAACAAAAACTCATTTTTTTCTGTTAACTTGTTGCATACTCGTATAATGGTTGTTAGAAAACTATTTACAAAACTATTTTCAACTGTCACTTACCATTTCACAGAATGTTTAAGCGCACATTTTGATCGAATTTTAATTTTGTTTTAATGGTTCACACAAATTTATCTTTTCCAGATTTTCCAGTCACAGTTCTCGTTCAACTACATATAACCAACATAGACAGTATAAGTGAATCAAATATGGTAAGTACATACCCCTTGAAGATGGATAGTTTTGATGGTGTAACATCTTTCTTTTAGATGGTAATAAATTCTACCATTTGAATATTATAGTTTTCTTTTTGCTTTGTTTGTTGCGAGGTAAAATTAATGTTGTTTTGCATATGCCATTGTTGCTTTTATTATGAAACAGCTTATAAAATTAAGTTTTCAAAAAATAGTCTTCAAATTGACCGTTGAATATGAATGCGTATAATAAAAGGCAAATTGTTCTTCTTACAAACGGATCTCCGTGGATTAATATGTAAGTACTTGAGGGGTTCGAAGCTTAATTCGGGTTACAGGTGCATCGTCTGTTTTCCAACAAAAATAAGATATTTTATTGTTACAACAATTCGTTTGTTGTTTGTTTCTAACCAATATAATGTGGAATTATTGTTTGCACGTATTCTAAGTCTCAACAGCTGTGAACATTCGATTATTAAACATCTGATATAGCATTCAAGGAATTGAACAAAATCTTGTTTTAAGTTCACTGTTCTTATGTTTAAGTCATTTGGATAAATATGTATCTACTTAACTTTTGAGCATAACCATATGTCAATAACCATTATATTGGCAAGTACAAAAATTAAAATGTTCATCTGTTATATCAAGTTTTAGCTTGGAATTTCATTCTGGTGCTGTTCTATTCATGCTACAGATATTTGGTGTAACATTGTAGAAATACTGAAGACTGCTGTTTAGAAATATTTTACACACATTGATATATCTTTCTGAGCAAACATATTAGTATGTACATAAGTATGTGATAAGAAATATCTTATCATTTGTAATCAGGATAGTTATAAGTTGATAATTATTATTAGTTTATAATTATTTTTGTATTAAATTATAGGAACTCACATACTTGAGAAGCATTCCATTTATAATAAGATATCATATTGGAAGTGTATAACTTTAAAACATTTGATTTTCACATAATTGCATAATTATATGACCATGGTTGGTGACAATGAACCACAATCTTGTATTCTGGCTACAGGACTACTCCATTGGTATGTTTCTACGACAAACGTGGAACGACAGTCGTCTAGCATACAAGAAATTGCCTACACTTAGGTCGTTAGAGCTAGATTCCCGCCTTATGGACAATATTTGGGTACCAGATCTCTTCATTGCCAATGAAAAACATGCTGAATTTCACATGGTAACAGTTCCAAATAAATTGATGCACATTTACCCAGAAGGACGGGTGCAGTACAGTCTAAGGTATCTTTATTAATATGTTATACATATCTTTGATTGGAAAGATCTATCTTATTTCTTTAATTGTAGAAAAGGTATTTTGGACAGTGGTTGACAGAAAAAAATATCCCAATATATTTTCCGTGTGCGTTTGGGAAATAACATCCTGTATCCAATATAGAAATTCATATATATTGCCAAATTAAATTGAAAAAATTGTCATTGAAAAAAGCTTATTTTCCATGTTATTAGATTGTCTTACGCAAAGACTACACGAAGTATTTAAAATAGGGAAAAACAGAATTCCTACAGAAAGAACAATACGACAAAACTGCATTTATACTTTAAAATACATTTATCTAGGATATCTGTTGAGATCAAATGTAATCTTGATCTTATCATTTTACACATTAAATTGGCCATTACATTACATGTGTATCTGCGACTTTGCAATGTTTTACGTATCATATTATTAATGTATTTTTATGTCCTCAGGATATCTGCAACTTTACAATGTAATATGGATCTTAGTAAATATCCACTCGATTCACAGATTTGTTACGTGATGATGGAAAGCTGTAAGTCGTACACTTTAATTTAAAAAGTTTATCTGTCTGATCATCTTTTCTTGCTTTGGTATTTTTACTTAACAAATTAGTTGTATGCAAATTTATGTAAAGGAGGTTTCACAATGGCTAAAAATGCAACTGTAAATGTTCGAAAGTCTTATTCTTTTTAATAAAAATGCGTTCAAAATTGTGTAATAAATGCAAGAAAAAAATGTTTTATGATAAGAACTGTAAACGGCATAAAACAGCACAATACATGTTATCTTTTTTGTTAAGTAATATAACACGTTGCCATAAATGTATTTGTAACATAGCCGCGCAGCAAAGTTACAGATATTTTTAACTGCACGTATTTTGCATTACCCATGCGATAATTTGGACAGTGTCTTATGTTTTCCTTCGGGAATTTGTTCGGAGCTACTTATTTATGTTTAACTTAGTGTTTTGTCTTTTAAGAATTTTACATACTATTGTTTGAAATAAAACATTACTTACTAATCGTCAAGAGTTAAAAAAATTTGTCAAATTTTAACAATCGGTATATCACGGAATTATCGTAACAAACATCACTATAGTCCGAAGTAACATTAAAAAAGAAACTCTGTTTAACTATCTGTTTTAATTACAGACGGCTACAGTACAGAAAACCTAGAATTTCGTTGGAATCCTAGTCCTGTATCAAGAGATCAGAGACTTCAACTTGCTCAATTTAAACTTGGAGACATGCGAACTTTTCAATGTGATAAGCAATATGTTGCAGGTATGCCAGCAAAAAATAGGTACAATTTATTGAAGTATCGGTTAAGTTTCAGCAAATCTAACTTTACTTTTTTGATAAGGTTGGTAAATAAATTAAAGCTTTATAAAACCAACTCTGCTTACCAGATGTGAATTCAGAGCCGACGCCAATAAAGAAATCATTATTAATGTTTAACGTGAGCGATAACTATTCAATGACATGTAATATCAAACATAAATTTAGGCTAGCGATATATTTCGATAAGATGCAAATCAATTCACGTAATAATTCACGTGAAAAAAAACGGAAATCATATTTAAAAAGGGAAAGCATTTTGTAGGGAAAATAGCATTATTATTCAATAAATTTAAAAATATATTTCATATTCTCCATTTCTTTTTCATTTCAGTAAATTATACGTGTATCACATTAGAATTTGAATTAAAGAGAAGTTTTGGATATTACATAACCCAGATATACATACCTAGTATACTAATTGTTTGTTTGTCCTGGGTCTCCTTCTGGTTGGACATAGACGCAGTGCCTGCACGAATTTCTCTTGGTTTATTGACTGTGTTAACAATGACAACACAAAGTGCCGGTGCAAGATCGTCTCTTCCGAAAGTCTCTTATGTTAAAGGTTTGTATCTTTAAGTACAATATAACAACTATTTAATTAATTAACATTAAACTATTATATAAGTATTTACTGTTTGTCAAAAAAGAGCCAGAAAAACAACAACAAAAAACAAACAAAAAGAAAACCAAAACAAACAACAATATGCACATTTTAATTTTGTACTTTAAAAATAATATTTATAAGCAGTCTCGGGTTTGAAATATCAATATGAATAATGGGTGATATATTCTAAGATTACCTGTTCATCTAATCTTATTTTGGCTTTGTTCATTTTAACATTTAACAGGTATCGATGTGTGGATGGCAACGTGTTTGTTATTCGTATTTGCCGCACTGATAGAATTTGCGTATGTAAATGTACACTCACGTGTGGAGAAACGTCGGCGGCAGAGCTGTGTAGGAACTCATACATTAAACAATATCAGCGAAAAAGAGGAAGAGGTATATAATGCGCAATGATCACTGATTTTCAAAATTGAATAAAACAATTTTATAGAAAATGCAAACCATTTAGGTAAAACAATAATACAAAATGATCAACATGCAAAACCAGTAAAGAATTACTAAAAATAAAATAAAGTTAAAGACAAGATGTTGTGGTTATTTTATCGGGATGTGTCGTATTGATGTTTAAGATACTTATTTTTACTTACTCTTTAAAAAGCAAAAAAACCCGCCATGCTTTTCGTTTTGAAAAAAACTATTGACTTGTGAATTATATATGCATAGCTACTGTTTGGACTTTAATAAGTTATTTTAAAAAAAGAAATCGACAGTTTCTTTGCTGATGCATTTGCTGTATCTATTTACAGTAGCTGATATAGATCTAGATACTATTGACAATGCATTGAGAAATCTCCTCAATTCGGTCGCGTAGGTTTTGCGTTCCTTGTTGATCTTGTTTATAATATTTTATCCTAACACTAAGTATATATGTGATTATACTTTGGTATTGATGAAATTCTGTTTACATTCCGGTCCACTGGTTAGGACACAATCAAACACAAATACAAATACAGATAAATTTTAGCATCCTTATATGGAATACGTTGCTTTATATGTTTTTTTTTGCGTATGTATTTTCCTTAGAAAAAACGATTAATCTAAATTATAGTCCGTAGATTTAAAATGTATATATAAGTTTCAATTGCATTTTTACAGGTTGATTACGATGCTAGGCGTCAATCAAGGTTCAGAATGTTCATGCCAAGTAGAGAAAAGGCTCGAACATGTGACCGTATATCAAGAATAGCTTTTCCAAGTGTTTTCCTTATATTTAATTTTATATATTGGTGCATATATGTAATATGGACACCTAAAAATACAACATTTTCTTGAAAGGAAATTAAGTGATTGCTATAATTTCGATTTCTTTTTATTCCTTATGTTATAGTTTTGTTCATTTTTATTATCTCAGTTTCTCTTTTTAAAGATTCAGTCATTCAATTATGGAAATGTTTTAAAAGTATGCATATCACATATTCCATTTACGATGTTTTCACTGTAAAACAGTATCATATGAAGTATAATGTATTTGCAATGTTCTGTATGCTTTGAAGAGAATACTTCTTTTTTCGAGAAAACAATGTATGACATCGTGACATTTCTTTATTTTCATACTGTTGATATTTGTTGATAGTTATTCATAAAATGGGTCAAACTTTGTTTACCTTCGTACGTGCATTTTGAGAAATGTGGATGTAGATTTTGCAGAGCATTGCAGTAATTTATCATTGTTTTGTATGTTTGTATGTTCCTTTTCAGGTACGAACGTTTCGTTATTAGTTTGTTATTAATTGTTACGAAATTTAAATTAAATTCATATAACAATATGTTGTTTTCTGCACAACAACTTTAAAATGTTACTGTGTCATGAAATTAAATGTTTCCGCTAGTCTGTTGTTTTCTTATTCCCTTCCTTTGCCAACATTATAGATACGTGTTTTTCAATATTACAAATACAATACTTTAGATTAAAAATCTTTGAATTTATTGTTTTGTTAACGCTTGTTATAAAATATGGAAACAAAGATCAACTAGGAAGAACAGGTCAATGGATATATACGAGGGTTGTTCAAAAAGTAATAGGACTGCAGTTCTACTGTTGACATTTTTTTAATTTACGTGTACAATTTTACAATATAAAAATCGGAAAAATATCCTTAATCGTGAAAAACATCTAAGATATGTTTTTAATAATAACAGTCTGTTTAAAAATTTTAAATGACAAGGGGGCGAGACCCGGGGCACGCTAACGGCAAATTATTGACGTTTTTACTGTAAAATAAAAGAAATTTAAAAAGGGCACCCCAAAGAAAGAATTCTTTTTAGTTTCTTGGTGTTAAATCATGTAAATTTGGGGCCGACTCATATGTGAGATGAAGGGAAGATAACGATTTACATTTTCGTTCACTCTCCAAAAAAACCCCCATATCCGGCCCCCTCCCCTATTTTTCAATTCTTATAGTAAAATATAGATTAAACAGGCTGCTTATTTATTTAAGAAAAAGCATTATAAAATTAATTTTCACAATCATCGTGTTTTAAAAAAATTGATTATGTAAGTTAAAATAACAGTATTTATCAACTGAAAAGTATATTTTCCTACTGGGAACAGAGTATCATTTTTAAAAGAAAATCGGGGAAAAATATTAATTATTACTGTTAATCATTATAACATTGATTTATTGATAACACGTATACCAAGTTAAATGAAATAGAATTTTGTTTGAATCAAGTCATTTGGGCAGAACTGAATCAACAGACCCGATGCAGAAATCAAACATGTCGGACAGTTCGTGGACTGTTTACCGTCGATCATTTTGTAGCGCTTTTTCATTTGACGTCAATAACGTCCCGTCAATTTCCTACTATCATTCTCATCCTTTCCTGTTTCTGATCTCGTATGTGCAGTTTTTGAATTGCTTGCGCAAACTGAGAACAAGTATCCTGATAGCCGATTAATTGTACTTTGTTAATTTTATGTTTTCGTATGTATCTGAAGGAGTATCGCCAATTTGTTGGCAAAGTTTTACGATCGCACACATTTTCAGTTTTTAACGAACGCCAAATTTCTACATTTAACGTTATGACCACTGCTGTTCAAAACATGATGATTTAGCCATGTCATGTCTGAATGACGTCAAATTTAGGCATAATGTCACTTAAATATAATAAATTGTGTTGGTGGAATAAATTGGGAAAATGAAAATAAATTATGAATAAAATAGAGGTACAACTTATCTTCAATAACTTCTTTATGTGCTGCGCCGGGTGCGTGTTACCATGGTTATTCAATAACACAGGAAACACGCGTTAAGCACAATAATTCAATAATTTTATGCTGAAATTGAAGAAAATATTTTTTGATCGCTGTACATATAAACATATTCTAAATTGAATTGAATATGAAGATGCAAGTCTCTCAGTCCTATTACTTTTTGAACAACCCTCGTATACATCCTCCAACACAATCCAACGGCAAGGAGCCAAACAGGACACCAAACAAAAAGCGAAAGAAGGGCAAAGCCTGGACAGGTAGTTATTATAAATAATGCAAAATAGGAAATCAAAGAAACCGACAAGGGATATTAAAGGAGACAATGTTAATATGTAAATTTAGTTTTAATTACATGTATTGTGATACGAAAAGTCTGTGTTAATTGCTTTTCGTACATTGTACAAGTTCCAATATGATTAACTATAAAGATTTAAAGGCAGACAGTTTGTGTTTTTATGCACCAATTCTCAGCAGACAAAAATTGATAAAAAATATTTCACTCATAAGAGAACCTGACTGTGCTAGCGCTATTTTCTGAAATTTGCTGACGGAGAAAAATCTTTTCAAAGCTTTTGCAAAAAATATTCTAAGACCATTACGATTTCAATGATGGTAGCTAAAGTTTCAAGTCTCACGGAAATAATACACCTCTCAATAACTCTATTACACTTGTACTTCTAAGCAGTGTATAAACATAAATATCTGCTTATAAAGTTCCAGTTATACAAATAAAGTAAGACATTTGAGTAACAATAAGCTTTCGTACCACTTATTATGTAAGTCGAAACTCTCAAATTGCATAACAACCAGAAAATTGATCACATCTGTTCACTCAACGTAATTTTCTTCTCTTTTACAAACTCTCTAGTTTACTGATTCTTATCTTACAATGTTAATACACTTTACTGCAATATAATATTTACGATTATCATAAAAAGTTTCATTTTTATTTTTTTTTTCGTATTGTTTATGACCGGATTAATGTCGGCTTTTAAGATGTGGTGAATTGTCTTCTGTGCTACGTTATCATTTAACAAAAGGACCTACAATCTTTATATATGTTCTTAACATACGTACTGATTACTATTATAGCACATGTTAATTCTTGTGATCTAAATGTCTTGGCAATTATGATATATCAACAAATGTTATATGCTAGACACAAGGATTACCAATAATTGTTCATGACAGTCATAAAGAGTGAAGTTTAAATTGGCGCCATATTAAGAAATAGTGTGCTTTTATTGATTAGGAATGATAAGACCATACTGGAAACTCAATTATTTATTTGGATTTATTGGCTTTGTAGTACAGTTCATTTTCTGTTTATATATTATAGTTTCGGTAATTTGTTGGACAAAGTAAACATGCATATTTAGTTTATTTTATAATTCGAAGGGGCAGACGAGTAAAAAGATGAGATGAGAAATATGTATTATGTAGGAAGTATGTCTTGATATTTAAGTATTTGAATGCATTTGATTGATGAACACATGTGCAAAAAATTTAATTTTTTTCAAAAGAAGAAACAAATATATAGTATCTGTTTTGTAATAGAACTGTACAAATTTTGATATGTCAAGGATTAAGGAATCATTTCAATTTAAATTGCTTCCTTTCATGATGTTATGAATGATTTTGACATATTCAAGACGTCGTTTTATTGGGTATTGCAGCCATATGAAAAAATCATACAAATTACCTTCCAACTTTCTGATTTCCCAGATGGTTTTCCCGAATTCGTTTTATTCAATGCTTGAACTATCTGGCTGAAATGTTTGTGAATCGGTTCGCAAAATTTTGTTAGTGTCGTTATTATCATTGATCTCATAATATATACAACTTCGAATTCTGGATATTGGTACCAGAAGAGTGTTCTAGTCCAAATTGTAAAAAAAATAAAATAAAATAAATAAAAACTTTATAAAAGCCGATTATGTTTCTTTCTATACTGCTTGCAATATAAAAAACAAACTGTACAAATACTATCAAAACAGATTTTTAGTTAGGTTTGATACATTTTTATGTTTAAACGCATTCCAGAACACACAATTACACTAATATAACATTCTCACAAATATGTTAGTGTTTTTAATACTCTCAAATTTGCTTTGTAAAACATAAGGTAAACTCATTCGTAACATTAATAATTTACTAATGGTCACTGATAATAGAAAAAGATCTTTCAAGTTATAAATAGAAGTTATATCTATTGACATTATCGTCAATGGTGTTTAAAATTTAGGTGGTGTGTTAAAGTGGGTTTGTCTAAAATGTGCATATTTTCCATAACTATTTGATAATTACAGTGGAATGAATCATTCAGATATTCTAATAAAATAACGCTTGAAAAAATTGATAAAGTTCTCAAAGATCTAGTATGAACATTTATATGAATAAGAATATTATAATATCTTTTTCTAGATTATTGTATTACCTCTCGGATATTGTATATCACTTTTGCCAACAACATCCATACACAATTGTTTCATGGTTTGTTGTGTATAATGATAATACTATCAACATTATTATTTATTTAATTACAAAGCTTCCATTTAAGACCATATCACTTTCAATGAAAACATGTTTTTTAAAAGTAAGGATTTTTATTCTAATTTCTTTGGAGACATATTTGTTTTTCTAATTAAAACAAAAAATGCGAATTCAATATTACGTAGATAATTATTCTGTTTAAAGCATTTAGTTGTTGCAAAACAAATGTACAACATATACATAAGTTATGAAACAAACAGCTTGCGTTGCACAGACTATTCGGTTTAATCATCAAAACAAAACCTTTGCTTGATACCTTTTGTTGTATATTTTTTACAACAAGAAGAAATTAATTGGCGTAACAAAGTAATTTTACAAAACTGTTTCGGAGATTTGTTTGTCACCTGCCAATTTCTGATATGACTTGCAAAAAAATAAACTTACATATTTATAGATTACTTACAGCAAGCTTATAGGTAATTAATTATTATCGTGCAATTAAAAAAAGATTTGTAATATTTTCAGTGAAATTGAGGATTTCTACTGATATGTAATTAAAAAAATGTATAATGAGATGTTTATCAATTAAGTAAAGCATAGCAATATATAACTGTTTTTAAAATGTTGATGAAATTTCTGAAATATATCCATGCGTTTGGTCAACAATCAAAAAAACAAAATATATATGTCAGTTTATATCCTTGAAAAGTTCTAAAATGAGACAGGAATGACACAAATATTAATTGTATCTTATCACATGTAAACGACCGCACAGTTTAATACAGATGTCAGAGTGTTATCGTGCCACCCGAATAATCACAGTTGTGGGGGAGGGCGAAGAACACATAATCCTGTTAATAATAATAATCATGTTTATAAACATTTAATGCAACAGAAATAGTATATGTTGAATGCAACATTTAATTTTTGATATAGCGCGATCATGATATAATCGAACACGCTTCATCATTAATAAAACGATTATGGTAGGTGGTGAATAAAAAACCTTTTTGTCTACATTGATAAAGGTTCTCGCTAAATACCCACAATTTTACTCTTGTTACACTTTAAATTCATGTTATTATTAAATTATTGTAACGTCATTATATCGT